CGTGGACTGCGTCAACATGAATATCGTATAAAAGCCAAACTACTGCATTATAACGATATTTATCCGTCCTCATCTGGTGAGATCGACCAACGAATCTCTTCTTCATGAACTTTCATTCGAAATGAAGGAGATTTATCGAAACCAAGTTTCTCGTCGTAGCTACAATTGTTTCCACTCCCGTTTCTTCTATTCGCGCCTTTGGCCGTTTTACTTATTTCTGCAGCTCATTTTTATTTTCCTCTGTGTTGTGAAATCTCAATATCCTGCGGAAAATTCGGTTGTAATCAATGTTATTTAATGTTACGGGTCGACCATTCTTGTATTCGACCAGTTATGAGTCTTGAACCCACAAATCTTTGCATATTCCTTAATGTTTGAATCACCTCTTATGCATTCGTCTCCCAGCATGAATACCAAACCTCGGAACAATGTGGTCGGGAGAAATGGCTTCGAATTTCCTTCTTCGTAAGCAGGATTTCGAGGCTTCCAGTAGATGATATATATGAAATGTATTCACCCTAATTCGTCAAAGTGATAAAACCACTGGTAGCAGAATCCTCCTACAATGATATGAGTGTAAAGGACGTTTCTATTCAATTTCCCATAGCCTTGCTTTCTCAAAAGGTATTCTTATTCAGGCAGGAGCAGACTGCAATTTCGACCTCACCTCAAATGGTCTCATCAGCTCCCCAGCGCGACTCGAATGCAGAATGTGACAGGAAAGCGTAAAATTTTGATACAGAACCCATTATGCAACAGTGTCATGAGTACCTTTAAGTGACAGGGCAGATGTGAATTTCATGGAAGGCCAGGCATTATCTCATATCACATTCTGTGCTGGGATTGTCGATAAAGCAGATTTATATTTGCTATAGCAATCGGATAAATCACTTATTTTTCGTTTTATAATCGAGTTTTCGAGGCGGTAGATTAGATGTATGCGGTGTATTCATCCTATTTCGTTTAAGATGATTAAGGAATGTGATTCTAACTTAAGAGACAAAGAATTAGAGGAACG